CAAGATGAACATTTTCGAGGACAATTTTTTGTGAAGTATTTTCATATTCAGTTTATTGGTTATTGTGAATATGCCTTGTTCAAAAGACAAAGGACCGAAAATCTAACACCAACAAACTATACTGTCTATGAAAAAACATTTACTATAATTGCTGATGGTGTGCTAATTTCATCCACGACAACTCTGTGGCCAAAATCATGGCAGGACTTTTGGGAGGATACTGGATCTACAGCTGTTATGAAATGTAGGTAATTGTCATTGGTTTATTACTTGGCCATATACAGTAAAAGAAATTCATGCATAGGTAGGCAAGGTGTGTCAGATTCCAGCCAATCGGAACACGCTATTTCGTATAACTGCATTGCATTATATAACCAACAACCCACCTACATGTAAGATCACCTGTTGAATGGTTGTCAACATGATAACTTGATTTCAAAAATTTTATCCTTGCAAAAAATGTCATTGAAAATATGTTCTTTAAGTGATTTCGTATCTTTAAGGTGATTTCATATGATAGAAAATATTTTGCAGCCTGTGAAAAGAATTGAAGCCCAAGACTCACTGCATTGTGGCCGATTCATTCTGCCCAGGCATTGTTTCTTAAACTGAGCACTCAATTATGAAACCTCGTGCAAAGTTTGAAACAACACCTTGGAAGAATGATAATCAGTTCACAATGAACTGAGTCTATGGCTTAAATCCTTAATCATTACACTAAAGTATTTTTTAAGGAAAACAATTCATCAACTGGGCTCAAGAGAGATACGGTATCGACGCTTATGCTCTAACATGTCTAACGAATGAACAGCTTATAAATGGTGAAGTTGTGGACTTGGGCGAATTCTCCTTTAGCCCTAACATGTCTGTACCAACAGAATTGAATTTTAGACTGCAAACTGAAATGAAATGACACAGGAGTGAAGTTTTACAGGAACACAGAAGTCAGAGAAGTGGTGTTCATATATTCCGTCACTATGTTAAACGTAAACCATGATACCATGGTCTATCATGATCGGCAATGAAATTACCACCAACTCTGATACCATGATATTTGTAATGTACCTGACCATAATTGACCATGGTATTACCATGGAATATCATGGTTGATGACATTTCATGGCATTTCATTGTACGGTGTGACAATCAATTACAATGGTCATACCATGTCATTTCATTGCCAAGATCATAACTCTCATTTATCATGGTTTTATCATTGCATTTCATGGTTGGTGGTATATTATAGCATTTCATTGTCAAACCTAACTACAAATACCATGGTTATATCATAGTATTTCATTGCCAAAAGAGCTCTTAGAAGAGTGTCAAATCTAAAATTGGTCAGAGTTGATATTGACCATGAAATGCTATGAAATACCATGTTTAACCTTGAAATGCAATGAAATACATTGACCGATCATGATACACAATGAAATGCAATGTTCTTTCTTGCAATGCAGTGAAATAAAATGATAGACAATATACAAAAGTCGTGAAAGTATTTTTTATATGAAAATATCTTTATTAATGAATGTTCATTAGATAACCAAATTATAATTACAATTACATGTAGTGATTCTGATGTTAATCAAAATCACAACTTTATATACTTTTGTTCCTTTATTTAATAAATGAACTTCTCTTATAAATAATTAAGTTAATAAACCTAAGAGACAAAATTTTTATGTTAAACAAATATACTTTACTTTTATTTATCTGATCAACTTAAAATTTTGTGAGACCAACCTTTTTAGATACAAAAAATTACATGTGTAATTGACACAATACTCACAATACTCAATTACGTATATCATGATCATTAATGCCGTGGTCACATATGCTCCGATTTTCAGCACAATACTCAATCGGCCGGGCGCCATTGCTGAAAATCGGAGCATATGTAACCACTGCATTAATGGAACCATTGCATTTTATTGTCAGCAGTGCTTTTTTAGCATTAAAATACTGCAGTATTTCATGGTCAGAAACCATCAAATGCAATGATATGGTTCAGAGCTTTGACTATGTTATCATTGCATTTGATGGTATCTGACCACGAAATACTACAAAACGGCAGTATTTTTTCAATGGGAAACTCCATATTAAAACACGCTGTTCACCATGGAATGCAATGTTGCCATTTAACGATCACGTCATAGTGACATAACTTACGTATTAGATTTCACCTATTTTTGCACTTAAGCCTAGGGGCTCTTGATGAAATTTGGGGGCACATTGAACACATTACTTTACCTAATTCACATTGATTAGTGAAAATTAACTGTTAATTAGCTCATTTGCATAAATGCTGAAAATTAATCAATCTTGAAGGTGAAAATGAGCATTAAATGAGGTGATACTTTCAGTCTCAGTTTTTCAAGACAGATAATTAAAATCTAGTTTACCAAAATTTATGATTGAAAACATAATACCCCAAAAAACAAATCAAAATCGCAAAAATGTGAAACATGTTGAATATAAGTTGGAGTACAGCATAGAAGGAATTTGGGGGCACATTGAACACATTACTTTACCAAATTCAAATTAATTAGTGAAAATTAACTTTGCATAAATGCTTAAAATTAAACATTTTTGAAGGTGAAAATGAGTGTTAAAGTACAGCATGCCGAATTTGGGGCACATTGAACACATTACTTTACCTTATTCAAAAAATTAATTAGCTCAAATTAACCGTTCATTAGTTCATTTGCATAAATGCTTAAAACTAAACGTTTTTAAAAGTGAAAAATGAGCATTAATGGAGGTGATAATTAGCTCAAAAATTAACTCAAATTACGTCAATTTGTGATTATGTTACCAAATTCAGTCTCAGTTTTTCAAGACAGATGCTTAAAATCTAGTTCACCAGAATGTGTAAATGAAAAACTGTATGCCAAAATATGTAAACAAGGCTAGAATAAGTACTGGGTGTTCAAAAAAAAACGCAACCCAAAGAAATCGCTATATCTTGGAAAATACTTATCCAGTTGCACTCAATTTTTCAGGAAAGAAAGAAGAGACTGTGTATGTAGAGTTCCTGTAGTTATTTAGTTGTAAAACATGAAGCCTTGGACACCTGCTCAAAAGACCTTAGCATTAGAAAGATACGAAAAACGCAGTCAAAGGTGACTGCCACAGCAATAAAACTGATTAACTTTCTAACCATAGTGTTTTGGCACTTCAGATTTGGCACAAATTATTTTCATTCAATGTGTGGTGAATTTGTGGAGTTTCATCAAAATCACTCCAGGGACTTTACAGTCATGGTCATAATACCTTCTTAAGTCTGACTGAACCAGGGCGTTTGACTGTGTTTTGAACGCATTTCGACTATTAACTGCAAAGTCCCTAGAGTGATTTTGATTTCACTCTACAGATTTACCATACTTTGAATGAAGATGATTTGTGCCAAATTTGAAGAGCTAAAACACTATGGTGAGAAAGTTATTCAGTTTTTTGCTGTGGCAGTCTCCCCTGACTTCGTATTTTGTATCTTTCTAATACTAATGTCTTTTGAGCAGGTGTCTAAGGCATCATGTTTTATAACTAACCAACTACAGGAGCTATTCGTACACAGTCTCTTCTTTCTTTCCTGAAAAAATGAACATAATTGCATTAGTATTTTCCAAGATATAGCAATTTCTTTGGGATGCGTTTTTTTTGAACACCCTGTACACAGTCACATTAATTAGTGAAAATTTACCCTTAATTAGCTCATTTACATTACGCTGAAAATTAAATTTTTGAAGGTGAAAATGAGTGTAAATGGAGGTGATAATTAGCTCAAAAATTAGCTCAAATTATGTCAATTTGGTATACAGCCACATTTTTATAATTGTACATGTGATTATGTTACCAAATTCAGTCTCAGTTTTTCAAGACAGATGCTTAAAATCTAGTTCACCAGAATGTATAAATGAAAAACTGTATGCCAAAATATGTATACAAGGCTAGAATAAGTACACAGTTACATTAATTAGTGAAAATTTACCTTTAATTAGCTCATTTACATAATGCTGAAAATTAAATTTTTGAAGGTGAAAATGAGCGTTAATGGAGGTGATAATTAGCTCAAAAATTAGCTCAAATTATGTCAATTTGGTATACAGCCACATTTTTATAATTGTACATGTGATTATGTTACCAAATTCAGCCTCAGTTTTTCAAGACAGATGCTTAAAATCTAGTTCACCAGAATGTATAAATGAAAAACTGTATGCCAAAATATGTATACAAGGCTAGAATAACTACACAGTCACATTAATTAGTGAAAATTTACCTTTAATTAGCTCATTTACATAAGGCTGAATAATAAATTTTTGAAGGTGAAAATGAGCGTTAATGGAGGTGATAATTAGCTCAAAAATTAGCTCAAATTATGTCAATTTGGTATAAGGCCACATTTTTCTAATTGCAATTATGTTTCAAAATACAGTCTCAGTTTTTCAAGACAGATATTTAAAATCTAGTTTACCAATATGTATAATTGAAAATAAAATACCCCCCAAAAAATATAAGAAATTTCAAAATCGCAAAAATGTGAAATATGATGAATTTAAGTTGGAGTACAGCATGCGGAAGGAATATGGGGCATATTTAACATATTGCTGTACCTCATTCACATTAATTCGTGAAAATTAACCGTTAATTAGTTCATTTGCATAAATGCTGAAAATTAAACATTTTTGGAGGTGAAAATGAACGCTAATGGAGATGATAATTAGCTCAAAATAAGCTCAAATTACGTCAATTTGGTATAAAGCCACATTTTCATAATTGTACATGTGATTATGTTACCAAATTCAGTCTCAGTTTTTCAAGACAGATGCTTAAAATCTAGTTCACCTGAATGTATAATTGAAAAACTCATGCCTAGATATGTATACAAGGCTAGAATAAGTACACAACTGAAATTGTTGTTAACTATTAAAACATTAATTTAATATGTTTGTTTGTTTAAATACTGCATTGGTTATGATACAATACACATCTTCTTTTTCTTTTTTTCTTTTTTTTGTTTTTCCCTACTCGAGTAAGAAGTTGGTGGGAGACTCCTTGCATAGTGAACTGGACCTAAATCATCTAGGAAGTTATCATCCTCACTGGAGTTGGACCATGTGCTACAGTGACCTGATTGGATCTCAATGCCAACACCAGATTCCGGGCTACGTTGCTGTACTGCCTCACAAAGGGATTTATAATGTCTTCTTCTTAATGTTGCATATTGGGCAGGGTATCCAGCGTAGTTCTGGCTACAAGCGTATGTACCCTTACCTCCTTTGGCATGTAGTTCCTCCTGTTTGGGATCGAATCGAACGCTCAAGTTTTTGGCCACATTGTTCTTTGATTGTTTTTTACTAAGACATGGTTTGAGTATTTTTGGCATATTGGGGGATAAGCCAGGCATAGAGCTACAAGAACCCTGGCGCTCCCAGGGGTCATATTTTTCATTCTCGTCTTCCAAATAACCATCAAATTCCTTAATAATTAACTCGAGTGACTCCTGATTTGGACTTTTTGCCCTCGTTATTGCCTCCTCAGGTGGGGGAGGGGGAAGGTTTGGTATAGTTTGGGGACTAGGCTGAGCGGTTTGAACCCTGCTTTTATTGTTTTTCACCTGGCGATCTTTATTAATGTCCTCAATTCTTGGCAGAGGGGATAACTGATTATTGTGCCCCATTGGCGCTCCATCGGCACTTGATTTATTTGAGCTACATGTACTCTTACTCATGTTGTAACTCGCACTCTGAGCTGACCATCCTAAACTACTCTCACTTGGATTGTAACCAGATTCAATAGTATCACTCAATGCACTGAACTTTGCGCTGTTATTTGACATACAGGAGTCAAGTAGTGCGGTGTCACCATATCCGTATGGGATTCCTCCGTATGGAGTTACATGTATGAACCCAGATCTGTTGGACTCATCATCAATGTTATAGCCAGAAAGCTTGTGGTTGTAATCAGTTTTGTTTGAACCAGCGTTTTTGTTTCTAGGGTTCCAAGTATCCCCGTTTTGGATTGAGTCCCCAGACGCAATGTTCTCTAATTTCGCCTGACCGCTGCAACATTCTGGTTGTGCTACAAATAGATAATAAGATAATACAATATCATAAGCAATGTATTTGTCACCATGAAAAACATTGCAATTCCCAAACGAGGCATTAACCTGCAAAATGTCACCATCATTTGTTTTAGACAAAAACCACCAATCACATACCACTGTCAAAAAATTGAGAGCATGTCACTCCTTTCTGGTGGTGACATAAAAATTAAAACTAGACAACAGCAACGCAAATGCGTAGCAAACCCCATCGAACAGCATTTTTACAAAAATGGCAGCCATTTTCAAAAATGGCCACCTCCTGCCAAAAGTGTCATTAGACATTGTGCCATGCTTATAGCATTCACATACCAAATATGAATAAAATCGCTCCACTACTTTTCGAATTTTAGTAAAATACGTTAAAAAGGTGGCCATTTTTCTACAAACCACTTTTCAAATCACGAGCCACAAAGCTGTGTGATTTTCGATGTAGGAACTTCGTTTGCGAGTAGAGACATATGTTCAGGAGAGAGGAAAACAAGAACACAAATGTGCACAATATGTCCCCACCAATGGATCCCATCAAATGGTCATCCTGAAAATGAGTAGACAAGACTTTACCGATTGATTGCCTTGACATTTGCCCAGAATGCCTAAAAACTAATCAGTTCTAGATTTTAATACTAAGAATCATCCCTGAAAATTTGAAATTGATGTACCATACGATTCACCTGAAAACGCGTAGACAAGACTTTACAGACAAGATTTTAGGATGGAAAATCCAAAATGGCTGCCCTAACATTTATCCAGAATGCCAAAAAATTAATCAGATCTAGATTTTCATACTAATGTAAGAATCATCCCTAAAAATTTGAAATTGATCTACCAAATGATTCACCTGAAAACGCGTAGACTAGACTTTACAGGCAAGATTTTAGGACGGAAAATCCAAAATGGCTGCCTTGACATTTAATAACCAGAATGGCAAAAAAACTTATCAGATCTAGATTTTCATACTAAAAATCATCCCTGAAAATTTGAAATTGATCTACCAAACCGTTCACCTGAAAACGCGTACACTGTAGACAAAACTTTACAGACAAGATTTTAGGATGGAAAAATCCAAAATGGCCGACAATAAAAAAGTGATTACTAGTTTTTGCTGATTTCTTTTTACAAAATTATCATATATAACTACTGTTAACAATAACGTAGGCTTTTACAGCAAAGTACACCTGAAATTATTTTTAAAGCTACTAAATAGTTAAAGTATGAAAACTCAAAAACACCGTTCAATATGAAACAAAGTATTATTGTGCGCTAACTTTTCTTATGACATTAAAAATGGCTGACATGACTGAGCTGACAGGTCCAAAACCAAATCAGATGTAGAATGAAGTAAGCTGAACAAGATGTTAAAGTTTTAAATGCGCCTAGGCTGACAATATGGCCCCACACTATGTGGTGGGGACATAAAAAGGTTTGTGACTAAAGAATCGATATATGCATCATGTGAACTGTGGTTCGGGTTAAAGGAATGTAGGTCGGAAATGATGATCATGCTAGTGGAAGTGCTTAACATGATTAAACCAGGAAAAGACATCATACTTAAAAATTTTACTTTGTGATAAATGTTTCCACTTGAAATGGAATTTCAAGTGATATTATGTAACTAGACAAAAGCAACGCCAAAGTGTAGCAAATCCCATCGAACAGCAATGGCTGGCATTTTTACAAACAAAGTATAAAGCAAAAACGGCAGCCATTTTTCAAAATGGCCACCTTCTACCAAAAGTGTCATTAGACAGTGTGCCATAGTTATCACATACCAAATATGAACAAAATCACTCCACTACTTTTCGAGTTATAGTAAAATACGTTAAAATGGTGGCCATTTTTTTAAAATGGCCTTCTTCTACCAAAAGTGTCATTAGACAGTGTGCCATGCTCAGGGGTGGATCTGGGAACCAACAAGGGGGTTACCAAATTTCACGTCATAGAAAAAAACTTCAAAAAAATGTTTGGCCCCTTAAAGCCAAAAGTGGCATCAAAATTTGGCCTGAAATTAAAAAATAAGGCCTTAAAAGGCCCAGTTGTGACAAAAAAGGCCCACTTTTTGGAATTTTTTTTGGCCCAATTCTTTTTTTTCTGGGCCCCCCCCTTGGGTGGACGTAGACATACAGACGGGCGGACGTAGGCGTTCCCTATATCCCTCCAAACTTTGTTTGATGGGATAACAACTACAAAATCTTACATTTTTTGTTGTGATTAAAAGCCTAGAAAGAAAATACTTCTATGAACTAATTATTTACAGTGATTCAAAAATAAAAAGGGTGCATATTTTGAGTCACCATGTATATCACATAGTGCAGAACAATACATTTATTGTATAACAATATAAATAAGACACACGGTGAACAATATCGCACCCTTGAACAGAAGATAAAGATGTGTTAATACATGAAAGTTTGTCAATATTCTAGCAATTGTGTAGAAAATCGTACTAATTTTGCACACATCAGGGATAACTGGTAGGGGGATTTCAACCTATGCCTGGATCAGATAAATAAATGAGATATAGCCTTGAATGTTCACTAAACAATCTCTACAAGTAGCAAGGCTATTTCTGCAGAATGATGGTTTAGGGAGGACTATAATATTAGAAACATCCCTGAAAATTTCAAATGCATCCGTCAAACGGTTTGGCTGGAAACCTGTAGACAAGCCTTGACAGACATGATTTAGGACGGAAAATCCAAAATGGTCGCCTTAACTTTTACCCAGAATGCCGAAAAAAGAATCAGTTTCAAACGGATTGGCTGGAAACTGTAGACAAGCCTCCACAGACAAGATTTTAGGATGGAAAATCCAAAATGGCCACCTTAAGATTTACCAGACAAGATTTTAACTTTCATAGGTAGAAACATCCCTGAAAATTTCAAATGAATCGATCCCTCAAACGGTTTGGCTGGAAACCTGTAGACAAGCCTTCACAGACACGATTTTAGGACGAAAAATCCAAAATGGCCGCCTAAACATTAACCAAGAATGCCGAAAAACTAATCAGTTCTAAACTTTCATAGGTAGAAACATCCCTGAGAATTTCAAATGAGTTGAATCCCTCAAACGGTTTGGCTGGAAACCTGTAGACAAGCCTTGACAGACAAGATTTTAGGACGGAAAATCCAAAATGGCCGCTTTAACATTTACCCAGAATGCCGAAAAACTAATCAGTTCTAAACTTTCATAGGTAGAAACATCCCTGAGAATTTCAAATGAATCCCTCAAACGGTTTGGCTGGAAACCTGTAGACAAGCCTTCACAGACACGATTTTAGGACGGAAAATCCAAAATGGCCGCCTAAACATTAACCAAGAATGCCGAAAAACTAATCAGTTCTAAACTTTCATAGGTAGAAACATCCCTGAGAATTTCAAATGAGTTGAATCCCTCAAACGGTTTGGCTGGAAACCTGTAGACAAGCCTTGACAGACAAGATTTTAGGACGGAAAATCCAAAATGGCCGCTTTAACATTTACCCAGAATGCCAAAAAACTAATCAGTTCTAAACTTTCATAGGTAGAAACATCCCTGAGAATTTCAAATGAATCCCTCAAACGGTTTGGCTGAAAACCTGTAGACAAGCCTTGACAGACAAGATTTTAGGACGGAAAATCCAAAATGGCCGCCTTAACATTTACCCAGAATGCCGAAAAAATAATCGGTTCTAAACTTTCATAGGTAGAAACATCCCTGAGAATTTCAAATGAATCCCTGAAACGGTTTGGCTGAAAACCTGTAGACAAGATTATTCTGGACACCCGAAGAGACTGGTCATACGGACCTGTTGATCATCAAAGTTACGTGGTCCGTATCAAAATAGGCTGGACAAAGTGACCAGCCCCTCAAAATAGTCCCTGGTCCATATGAATGTTACTGGTCAATCAAAATCTTGTTAGACAATAAAGAACAATAAATCAACGAATTGTTTTATGAGTCAAGTTTAAAACGAAATCAGTATCATTAAATCAAAGATCCTTAAAAGGTCCTTAATCCTCAATGGCCATATTAACTTCATTCTCCGAGTCATTGTCAGTGTCATCAAACTCATCACAATTACTGTCATAATCAGAATGATCTGAAGAACAAGTAGCCTCTTTGTTTGTATCTGCTTATGCTGCTGCATTCGGGTGCACCCCAGTTGTCCGAAACCCAGTTCTCCGAAACCCAGTTGTCCGAAACCCACTTGTCCGAAACCCACTTGTCCGAAACCCATTACTCCGAAAAATATAGTCATAATTTACCAGAGAAAGGGGAGCCGTACTAAGCTTAGGCCAGTTTCATGCAATGTATTTGGCCAAATTAATGGCATGGACGCATTCTGATGTTCATAGATCTCTCTCTCACTTTGAATTTCATCTATTGCACACGTTACCAGAATGGCAGGAACGGGGGATTTATTTTACATTGTGATTCTAAAAAAAGGTTATCAAAACACAATATATATTACGGAACAGTTTATCTTATCTTCTTCAATCTCTTTTATATAGGCAAAATAAAATGAATCATTTTGAAACAGATAAAATAAGTTTACGTTTAAGAATAAAACAGTATACATATTATGTTGTCAAAATATTTCGTCGCATTTAATTTCTTAGTCTCTGTATTTTATCAAATCGTAAAAGAACAAAACATTCTTAACTTAATCACTTGGGATCAACTGGAAACGAAGGCAGGCTGTCCTCGTATCAAAATGGATGTTCTCCCATTCGCAAGAAGTTTCATTTTCGCCATGTACTCACTTCATCCTTTTAATTTAATCTCTATTTCTCGAACAGAGTACGTAAATGAAGAATAAGTTTTGGTTTCATAAGATGTACATGGCAACTTTACTAAATAAATGCCCACTGGCTTGGGAAAGCTATTTTTCCTTTTATGAACGCTCATCACCCATTGGAAAAATGTTGTTCCCTCTCAAAAAAGGCCCATGGGCCATAAAGAAAATTGGTTTAAAAATTGTAGACCCCTATCTATGTATGTTGTGTAAAAGCCATTTTACAATGAGAATAACATAATTTAACTTTGTTTGTTTGAACATCTATATCACCTGTATATGAACTTTCGTAGGCTAAACATTAAAGAATTAATGTCTTGACTTGATTTTGCAATAATGTCAATGTTATTCCAATGTTATGTTGTGATTCGCAGAGGTTGCGACAACGAGATTCGTTTAAAAAAATTGTATTTTTCAAATAAGATCCCCTAATTTTCGGAGAACTGGGTTTCGGACAACTGGGTTTCGGAAAACTGGGTTTCGGAGAACTGGGTTTCGGACAACTGGGTTGACCCCGCTGCATTCACTTTGGCTCAATATCTTGGATATCCTCCATGGATTCTAAGGATTCCACTAAGGTCACAGAAGCACTTTTAGTCTGTTTCCTATTTCTTCTTTGTCAATACAAATTTACAGCTTCAGTAGGTTTAAACTCCTCAATAGGAGGTGAATTGAGTTTTACATTAAGCAGAGTTCTTCAAGACTTTTATTGTACGTTCGGTAATTTAAACCTGCACATCGCTCCAAAACGCAATATGTTGACATATATTGTTTTTACATTTTCAAGCTCTAATATAAAGTTTATGTAAATAAAAATTGTTTTTTTCTGCGTAGTATCAAAGAACAATCATTTAGTTAAAAAAATAAAAAGGCGACTGCAGGATTCGAACCCGGGCCTCCCGCGTGCTAAGCGAGGGTTCTACCGCTACACCACCGTGTTTTTATGAATAGTGGAGGTAATTGAACGCTACTTATTTTGAATGCTGTGATTCGGAAGTGACGTCACGTTCTTCATTTAGAAACCTTTCCAAAATCATATCGCCAGCTCCGATCGAAGCAAATTCAATGAAAAATCTTTGAAATGACACATTTATCGTAAGTATTTCTACACAAGATTTGCCCCATTTGTTCATCATTCTATAATCTTTCATTAAGCTCAAAATGATAAAGTTCACCCCCGAAACAACCCAAGATTGCGTTTCGGAGCGAAGTCCAGCTTTAATGTATCATTTCGCTATACCGGTTTATAATCGGTTGTTCTTAAAATTAAAAACAAAAAAATGTTTTTATGAATTCTTGTTAATAACTTAAATCTGGCGATTTAATCATCGACAACTCGAATTATTAGCAGAATAACAGCACGGACATGAATTCTACTGCTAGGTAGGCGATTAAATATCATGCTGGTCCAAATGACCGGCACTTTTGCAAACATTGCCGGACCTGGGCTCAATCTACTGGACAATGTCCACCAGGAAGGCCGTTAATGACTACACTGCCTGTAGCTAGACTTATCAATTGTTTAAAAAATTATAATTTGAATTACCTACAGGTATTACAGTCAACTGTGCTGCATAATCTTTTGGTGGTCCAGCTATTGTCCGGCACTCATACCTTCCTACATCTGTCAACTGCACATTTTTAATAGTGAGTGTGTATTTATTGGCACTTGTAGAATCAACCTCATACTTGGCAGGATTTGAAACTTGCCCACCAGTATGCCATACAACGACACCTGTATCACCTTGTGAGGCATACTCTACCCATTGGACGTATGAATAGCCTTGGTCTTTACAATCAAAGGTGACATCTGTTCCTACGCGTGCTGCACTGTCCACAGGGATATCTTGGTCCAGGGCAACTGAAAATAAGTAAAAAAAATCAGATTTTACTAATTTTATTAATTTTTTATAAGATTTCCTGCTTTATGAGGGATATACTATAGTGCCTCTGTATCGTTTCAAAAAATTTACCCAACGTGTCGGTCTCTGTTAATTTATGGCATCCATACTTTTTTTAAAGATGACACTTTGAGGCTCAATTTTTTGCCGGATGCTCTTGCAAACTCTCATTGCTTGCTCTGTATTGTAGCATTCCGTTACCATGGTTATGCATCTATAGACATCTTACCTTGGAATCTTAAATCATTTGTAACTTTGTCATTATTTGGTCTATAGAGATGAAATTGGTTTCAAACTAAACCTAATTAAATTCCTCATAAAGTAATGATATTCAATTATGCAAATTAGATAGTTTGCATAAATTGTGACGCCATCAATCAATTTTTGATTCAGAATTTTCGAGAATAGCAACATATCTATTAGAACTGAGGCCGTATGTCAGATTTTCGGCAAAGTTTGGTCCTTTAGACTATAAGAAGAATAAATAAGCAACATAAAAGTGAAAACAGATTCAAAATTGGATCAGTATTGCCAAAGTTATTAAACTTTCGAGGTAGCTACTGTGAATGTCATTATTTGACAATTATATTCAGACATCTTACCATGGACGTTTAAAGTGTTTGTAGCTTTGTCATTATTTGGTCTATAGAAATTATATTGGTATCAAATTAAACCTTATAAAATTTCCTGTACGATTACAATATTCAATTATGCAAATTAGATAATTTGCATAAATTGTGCCGTCATCAATCTATTTTTGTTCAGAATATCCCAGTTAAGCAACATATATATTAAAACTTAGGCCGAATGACAGAATGTGTGCACAGTTTTGACCTTTATTTGATGAGTGGAAGATAGAGGCAACATTCGAGTGACAACAGATTCGAAATTGGGTCAGAAATAGCAAAGTTATTCAGCTTTTGGGGCAGCTACAATGAACGTCATTGTTTGACAATTATAAAAATATTACAATAACAAAAAAAGAAACAAACATAGTTGTTTCAATCTTATTGAGTAAAAATGTACATGACTTGTTCATATTTTTCCATTGAAATATACATGAAAGTATGTGGAAATGTTACATGTATTTTGACTATCATTCACAGGGGTCAAATCATGTGATCTTGATTTTAAAATCTAATTTTATGATTTACCATACACTGTCAATGATCCATTTGAATACATAGTAATGCTTTAATAATGCTATTTTGACATATGTTGACTAATATACATATCAATATTTACAAAATTTATATGGAAGAGTATTCCTGGTTTCATTTGATTTGTAACATGTGAAAAAGCTGAAAACAAAATTTTGTTGATATTTGGACATAAACTAAATAAATCTTAATTACCATTTTATATTTAAAATACAGATACTCTGAGTGTCAACTTTAGAACTTAGATGTTAACATTTCCAAAAATCAATGCCCAAAATAAGTCAATCGGTGGCAAATGGCGAGCCCACACAGCTAATGTGACAACTACTTTAGGGTAATTTTTTAACCTTCAAAATCCTTTATGATTCAACCTTAGAATGATTTATGTTATAGCTTTTTTGAAAATGGACTATAAGCAGAAAGTAGGTACTTAGAGAAGCAAAACGAAAAGTAGTTTTTATATACTTTTACATAATATAACCTCTTCGATATGCAACTAGACAAACAGCAACTCCACGGAGTAGCAAATCCTACCGAACAAAACAATTTTAGATTATTAGTGGCCATCTTGAAAATTCCTTCTTGAGCAGAGCTTGTTTGTCCCTAAGCATCAACATATAAAATGTAAACCATATCCATAAATTGAAATTTGAGTTATCAAAGATTACATTCTCTTTTACTAAAAATGGCAGCCAATTCTGCGATCATTTTGAAAATCTTTCTCGAACAGAGCTAAAGTGTCCCTAGGTATCAGCATATAAAATTTGAATTAAGAAAAATGGCAACCATTTTGAAATTCAGCTGCCATTTTGAAAATTCTTCCTCGAACAGAGCTACTGTGTCCCTACTGTGTTCGCTGGTATGAGAGTTATCAAAATTTTATGTGTTTTTTTACGAAAAATGACCACCATTTTTAAATTCAGTGGCCATCTTGAAAATTCATTTTTGGACAAAGCAACTGTGTCCCTAGCCATCATCATATAAAATTTGAACCAAATCCGTTCACTGGTATTTGAGTTATCAAAGATTATGTTTTTTAACGAAAAATTGCCGTCATTTTGAAATAAAGCGGCCATCTTAAAAAATTCTTTGTGGAACATTGCATCTGTGTCCCTAGGCATCATCATATAAAATTTGAACCAAATCCGTTCACTGGTATATGAGTTATCAAAGATTACGTTTTTTACGAAAATTGGCCGCCATCTTGAAATTCAGCCACCATCTTGAAAATTATTTCTTGAACAGAGCTACTGTATCCCTAGGCATAATGATATAAAATTTCAACCAAATCTGTTCACTGGTATTTGAGTTATCAAAGATTACGTTTTTTACGAAAAATTGCCACCATTTTGAAATTCAGCGGCCATCTTGAAAATTTTTTGTCAAACATAGCTACTGTGTCCCTAAGCATCATCATAGAAAATTTGAACCAAATCCGTTCACTGGTATTTGAGTTATCAAAGATTACATATTTTTACGAAAAATGGCCGCCATTTTCAAATTAAGTGGCCATCTTGAAAATCTCTTTTTGTGCAAAACTCCTTTGTCCCTAGGCATCAGCATATAAAATTTGAACCAAATCCGCAAACTAGTATTTGAGTTATTAAAGATTACAATTTTTACGAAAAATGGCGGCCATTTTGAATTCAGTGGCCATATTGAAAATTCCTTCTCGAGCAGAGGTCCTACACCCATAAGGCATAAGCCTATAAAATTTGAATCAAATCCGTGAAACGGTATTTGAGTTATCGCTCGGACAAACGGACGGACAGACAGACGGATGGACGACAGACGGACGGACGAACGGAGGGACGGACGGCTTTCCTATATCCCTCTCGAACTTCGTTCGGTGGGATAATGAAAAATGATGACAAAATCCATACAAGAGCTCAGTAGTAGTACTAGTAATCCTGAAATTAAAGTCTATTGATCAAAATAGCCACGAAGAAAAAATGCCCTTTAAAATATTTTTGAAAGAACTGATTTTTGTAGGACTTTAACTAACCCTTCCTACATCTACATATAGGTTTCCTACATCTATCTCTTATGTCCAAAAGTATGTATGGTATAGGACTTATAATCTGAATATTGTTTTAAAAGGTTTCCAAAATATGAAATACCAAAAATCTATGAAAAATATGAGTCTCAAATGGATGGATTTCAGGTATATCCCCATAGACAATGGATACCATTCAAAACTGAGAACCGTAACAACAGGAGATTTAAGTGCAAAATAAAGGAGTTAATCACATAGTATGATTGACAGAGGTTGGACCTAAACTATTTTAATTTACACTTTTATAGTTTAGAAGCTTTAATATGGAAAGATCTAATCTAAAGAAGATCTAATCAATACAGTGCGTATCAAATAAAAACACATCGGGTTGTTATCTCCGAAAAGCACAAAACCAGTGATAACATCATTGATTCCATTCAATGCACCATGAAGCCATGTGTCTCCTCTTTACAATGATATATCATTCATTGATATTTGGTCATGGTTGGGCGAGTAATCATTCCATTTGCAAAGTGGGTCAAAATTAGCTTGGGGACAAGTTATAAACATTGCAAAAGTCAGTGTATGGAGCCAATTCTGACTGTATCCTTTTCATTCAATGTACCGAAAAGCCAAATTACTCCTCTTTGCAATGGAATATCATTCATTCACAGGGAATCATAGCTGGCCGAAAAATCACACCCTATGCAGACAGAGCCTGTGGGAAATATTGGGTGCGGCGCAAATGAGCGGAGGGTACGGAGCTAACGGTCATTTTTGAATTTAAAATTGGGATATTTCTGAAACTAAGCCGTTTTTGGACTTCAAATATACCAAGATATGTGTATTTGACACCAAATATCAATAAAATTGTGAAAATAGTAGTGCAATTCATTTTATAGCGACGCAGTATGCCTTAAACATTTCCCAGACCTATATATTTTGAGACTATTCTTTTAATACTGCGTCCCCAGCATTCATAAAAAATGGTGTTCAAGATACACTACCCATGCAAATTATTTTTGCATCTTGGAAGCCAGGCAGTATTTGTGTGATTTTATAAAAATTCGGAAATGTTCTTCAGATATGAGCCCCCTCTAAATATTGGGTGCGGAGGTACGTTTATGGAGCTCCTCCGCACCCAATATTTAGAGGTGGCTCATATCTGAAAAACATTTCCGAATTTTTATAAAATCACACAGATACTGCCTGGCTTCCAAGATGCAAAAATAATTTGTATAGATAGTGTACCTTGAACACCATTTTTTATGAATGCTGGGGACTCAGTATTAAAAGGATAATTTCAAAATATATTGGTCTGGGAAAGGTTTAAGGCACACTGCGTCGCTATAAAATGAATTGCGCTACTATTTTCACAATTGTATTGATATTTGTCAAATACACATATCTTGGTATATTTGAAGTCCCAAAACGGCTTAGTTTCAGAAATATCCCAAATTTAAATTCAAAAATGACCGTTAGCTCCGCACCCTCCGCTCATTTGCTCCGC